TATTTTAAGAAGTTTGGTTACCTCGTCTTTTATGAAGGCATGTTTTACCTCGGACTGAGGCCTCCTCTTTTGCTTCACCGGTTTGAACCTGGGATCGGTGCTCAGCCGATGCGTGGTGATTTCCGGTGGAATCCCTGTCATATCTAATTGGGACCAAGCAAAGCAATCCATTTTATTAATAAGAAATTGAATGAGTTTTTTCCTGAGTTCGGGGGTCAATCCCGTTCCCAGGTATACCTTTCTCTCGGGAAAGTATTCGATAAGTATGACCTGCTCCAGTTCCTCGACAGTTGACTTGGTTGCATCGGACTCTTCGGGAACGATGAAGGTTCGAGGAGTAAGGAAGTCCTCTTCTTCACCTTCGATTACTTGTTGTTCCGACTCCGTCGAGGCTGGGGGCTGTGATTGATATTTAGCCGCCAGCTTACCTTTGGTGCTCGATTTCTCCGAGGTCAAGGGCTCTGGTATCGGCACCACTTCCTCGATCGCAAACATCTCTTTTGCATCATGTTGCTCTCTGTAGACTGTTTTCACTCATTCCTCCGTTGGGAATTTTATCATTTGGTTAAGAGTTGAAGGCACTGCCCTCATGTTGTGTATCCATGGTCTCCCGAGGAGCGCATTATACCTCATGTCACCTTCGATGACATGGAATCTGGTGTCTTGTATGGTCCCGGCTATGTTTACTGGCAAGATAATCTCTCCCTTTGTTGTTTCGCTTGCTATGTTGAAGCCATTCAGGACCCGGGATGCAGGTACAATCTGATCTTGTAGGCCGAGTTGTTCCACGACCCCCGATCTAATTATGTTTGCTGAGCTACCTGGATCCACTAAAACACGTTTAACTTGAATTTTATTCAAAAGGATAGAGATTACCAGGGCGTCGTTGTGAGCCTGAGATATGCCTTCTACGTCCTCGTCACAGAATGATAAGACGTCCTCGGGCACATAGCTCTGAGTCCATTTTTCTCTTGTGATTGATACTTTGGTGCGCTTGAATACAGGACGTTGAGGGACATCGACTCCGCCAATGATCATGTGGATTACATGTTGTGGTTCTTCTTGCTCATTTTTCCTTCCATCCCTTTCCCTGAAGTGATTATTAGCTCGATCACTTAGAAATTCTCGAAAGTGACCCTCGTCGAACAATCGAGCCACCTCCTCTCTTAGATGCCTGCAATTTTCTGTTCTATGACCATGTGTGCCATGATATTTGCACATCAAGTTTGGGTTCCTTTGAGGGGGATCGGTTTGTATAGGCCTAGGCCACTTGGTGTCTTTGATACTCCCAATAGCTGACACAATCCCTGATGCTCTATGCTGAAGTTGTACTCCGATAATTGAGGTGCCTATGCGGGGTCGGTATGCTTATCAAATCCGCTTTTACTCACGAGTCCCCGAGAACTTTGACCTCGATCGTTTTTCCGGTCGTTCCGAAGAGCGTTCCGACTTGAACCGTTGTTTCTTCGATGACATATGGTTGATATCGTTCCCTATTTGATCTCGATTCCCTGTTCGTATCCCTCGGGGGCTTGACCGCGAACCTGTTAGGATGAACCAAACCCGAGGGAGCTCCTAACTGATCGTCCTCGACCCTGATTTTTGATTGGTAACGGTTGTGCACATCTAACCACGTTACAGCTGGATACTCGATCAAGTTCTGTTTTATTTGTCTAGAAGCAATCGAGCTCCGCTCGTTCAAACCCTGCATAAAGGCCTGTACTGCCCAGTCATCGGATACCGGTGGTAATTCCATTCTTTCCATCTGAAACCTGGACACGAACTCCCTCAATATCTCGTCGTCCCTTTGTTTTATCTTGAAGACGTCTGATTTCCTCGTGGCCACCTTTATGGCCCCGACGTGTGCTTTCACGAAGGCATCCGCTAACATAGCAAACGAGTCAATAGAGTTAGGAGCTAAGTTGTGATACCAAATCATGGCTCCTTTCGACAATGTTTCTCTGAACTTTTTCAACAGGACTGATTCAATCTTGGCATCATTCAAATCATTTCCTTTGATCCCGCAAGTGTATGAAGTAATATGCTCGTTGGGGTCGGTTGTTCCGTTATACTTGGGTATGCCGGGCATGCAAAATTTCTTAGGAATGGGTATCGGAGCCGTACTTTGAGAGAATGGTTTTTGTATGAATTTTTTGGCATCTAATCCTTTCAGAACTGGAGGTGCCCCCGGTATCTTGTCTACACGGGAGTTATAAGTCTCCACCTATTTATCATTGTCTTCAATTTTCTTTTCTCCGGACTCGATCCTCTTAGTGGGTTCTTCGAGCAGCTTCATAATCGTGGGGTCAGTCCCCGAGCCGCTTTCATTTGACCTTTCTAGTGTTGGCTCTACACGTCGATTGTTTTCATGTTCAGCTATACTCGGAGTCTTATTTTGACTTTGAAGTTGAGCGATGGCGATTTGCTGAGCCTGCAACATCTCGAATATCACTTGGAGGCTGACATTCACTATCTCCTATTCCTGGTATTCCTTGGTCCCCAGGTCGGGCTTCCCTGCGTACACTCCCTTCGGGGTCTGTGCCTAAGTTGGTGTTTAGAGCAATATGAGAACTAACATCAACTGGTTCCATGTTTAGCACTTCCCCAGGGTTTACCGGTGGTACACCGACCCCTACATTGTTGTTTTCACCAAGACCTTCGTTGTCATGAACAGGTGCATTTTGTGAGCTAGACATGTTTTAGCCTGAGAATTAAAAAATTCTTGACAAGAAAAAGTGTAAAAATAACGTGTGTAATAAGAATCAGTAAAGAAACAATCACTATTATCTTTAGCCCCATGGTGGGCGCCAAACTTTTTACCTCGAAAATATGAGTATCAATTAAATTTGATTTGTGGTTTTAAAGATATGTGATTTAGTTCAATACCAATTAATAATAAAGAAATATGAAGTAGAAATGAAAGAGATAAGTGAATCAAACCAATGTTACTTAGCAGTAGTGACCCCGAGATGGTGACCTCGAGACGGGTTAAAAGCAATAAAGTAAGAAAAGTAAAGTAAGAGCAGTAGAGCTAAAGGACAATGCTGATGAACAATAGGCAAAAAGTAGAGAGTATATTCTTTTCTCAGTGATTGTGTGATGTTACAAATATTGGGGTCCCCTTTATATAATAGGGGAATCCCTAAATAAGGTATATTTCTATTTACAGTAAGGAATATTCTTGATACAGCTGTCTAACCGCCTAGTACAGAATCATACAATCCTATTCCGGGATTTGTGCCATAATTTTGGGGACATGGCAGGAATCTAGCTCATTCTGTTACAAATTCATAACGGTACTATTTCGGGGTCGAGCATACTTGGCCCGGTGTTCCTCGTACTCCTATCTCCGGGCATTGCACTCTATCTTTGAGCTCGATTCTGGTCCACTGGTCTTGAACTCGACCTCACGCGAACTCGGGCTTATGACAGACCCTCGAGCCTATAAATCGGAGGCATATGAAATTTTGACCCCAATCATTAAAAAGTTTCGAAACTTTAAATTCGGAAATTAAATTTTACAAATTTTTTATTTGTTTGGATTTGGGTGTTATTGCAAATGATTGGGAATATCCTTTGGAGTTTATATCTCAATTTTGAGAGAATTTAGTGAATATTCGAATTAGTTTTGATTGAAATTGTAGATTGAAACTCGAAGAAAAAGAAGACATAAATAAACGGTGTATATATTTGTATTCAGGTGTACAAATGATATACAACTAACATAATTGTATATAAGTTATATATAAATTATATGTAAATTGTAGTTTTTTGATTGGATTCTATAAAAAAAAAATTATATACAAGTTGTACATAAGTTGTATATAATTTTTATTTTTTGACCGGATTGCATACAATAAAAAATTATATTCGACTTGTATATAATAGCTTTTGAACGGAGTTTTATATATTTTATAAAAAACTCTACTTACTTTATTTAAATAGAAAAACCTAGCTAAAATCGGTAAATAAGCTTAAGATTTTATATATATGCAAAAAAATCCCTAAAAGTCATTAGTGTTCTTATTTTGTGGACAATCTCCACTAAAGTATTCCTCAACCAAACGATCAAATGTTATACTTCCTTCAACATGATTAGTCAATCTCACTCATTAACATCTATATAGACGAGGGGTGGAGACGCGAAGTCACGATTTGAACTTTTATAAGTTTGGGATTATAATTCTTTTAAGTTAGTGGGTTCTAAATTAATAATTTATACAATTATTAGATTTCTTAATACAAATATGAGGATTTGTACAAAAATTATCGGGTTCGACCGGATCTGCAACCATCACTGTGGCTCCGCCCCTGATACAGACAACACTCATAAATCAGAGACTTTGTGCAAGTATAATCGAAATAAATGTATGTAATTCCAAGTCCCCAACTATTAGTTTTTGTTTGGCCATAAAATTTGGGAGCTTTTCCCAAACCTGTTTTCAAATATTTGTTTGTTTGTAGATTTGAACCATTTTTTGGCAGACTTTGAAAACAAAATCTTCAAATCCTAAAACAGCTCTAGAGTAGTTTTTGAAGTTTTTTACTCACAAAACTTTAAATTCTTTTCAAGTAAAATGCATGTCCAAACATAATTTCAACTTTTAAAAACTATTTTCATCTCATCTTCAAAAACTTATTTTTTTTAAATTTCAACCAAATTTAGGCCAAACGCTAGCTTAATTGTTTGACATTATATTTATTTATCACAGAGGGTTGTTATGTATATTAGTAGTCTAAGTTAAGAATACAAGTCTAAAGTTGCTAAAGAGTATAGATATGTTTTCGGCTATTATTTTTTAGAGTGGCATACAGTGTAGTTTTCCCAACTAGTAGCTATGGTAAAGAAAAGCCCAAAATCTCTCCCTTGTCTAGGTGGACTGGGTTTTCAGAAAGCCCAATTATTTTTGGATGAACAGGAATTTAATGAGGGCCCAACTTAATAATATGGATCCGGCCCATCAACTTATAATGTTGGTAAAGAGTTGATTTCTCTTTTCGATTGATAATACTCTCCCGAGTCTCGTCCTTACCGGTCCAAAATCCAAAACCCTAAACCTCCCTCACCCTACCTCGTCTTCAAACTTGCTCCTCTCCGGCGAATAAAGTAACCTCTATCTCTGTTTTCTTACTGAGTTTTACTGATAGAATACACATTATATGTTAGCATTGGCTACTTGTGCTTTGTTGTTTTTACTATTTAATTTTCATTCGTGCTTGTTTCCTGTTTGTTATAATCAAATGTTATAGACACGTCTGTCAATTTTGTCAGCGGACTTGAAATATTTATCGTGATGTTTCAAATTTACATTTTGTTGAATGAAGTTCATAAAATTCAATTCATTTTCTAATCATTCTATTCAGACCTATGATTTCCGTGTTACCATCTTTTGTTTCAACTTTTACCATTTGTTATGAGATTAACAATATTCAACTGCTAAATTGAGTTAAAGTCGGTGTTTGAGAAGTTGGATAGTCCAATATATCTAATAAATGACAAGGGTTTGTCTAACTTTGCTCATTGTTTGTCTCAGAGATAGAATTGCTAACAATGGCTGAGGAGGTGCCACAGCCTTTAAATTATATACCAGAAGTGATTCTAAAAAAGAGGAAGAACAATGAAGAGTGGGCAATCAGAAGAAAACTCCAGCTAGAGCAGAAAGTCAAGAGACTTAAATCTGATAATTTTGTTATCAAGAAGCCTGAGCAGTTCATTCGAGAGTATAGGGATAAGGTATCTATGAATTGATTGTTTAAATTGCATCGTTTGTTTAAATTTGAGCCTTTTCCCTTTATCTTATGCTGGCTGTAAGACTTGTATTTGCACATGTCCCATCTTGTTTTTCTTTTTTACTTGTGTTTCTTTGTGACATATTGCATTTATTTCATGAAGCAATTGCTCGATCTTTCCATTTTTTCTCTTGGCTTCAGCATTGTATTTTCGTTTTGAGTCTCTTTACCAGTTATAGAATCTATAATCAGGAATTTTGTGGTGCAGTGACGTTTGTTAAGGATTGATATATTTATGGTCTGTTATTTACTTTGGTTCACTTATCTCTTAGTTTGGTGGGCGCTAAACAAAATGACCTCCAATTTCTTTTACACTCATTTGCTAGTAACAGGCATCTTTCTGTCCTTCCTGGATATGAAAGTCCTTTTTTTGGGTCAAAATTCCTGGATGTGAAAGTCATTGTGGCCAAAAACAATTTAGACTTGCAACCAATAGCCATAACACAGAAATAGTGATGTTCTAACTTCCGAGAAAGGAACAAAAAAGTATTGTGCATTAATTAGAAGTAAGAGGGTAAGAAACCTTCTGAAGCAGTACGTACAACAATGTGTTAAGGAGAGATAACAGTTTTAAATTTTCAAATTCAGGGGGCTCAGGACTGCAACTATTTATTTTGGGTGGCACCAACACTCTGGAACTACTTCTGGCCTATACAATCACAAGATAATATTGTTTTTGTTTCCTGGGAGTAAACAGAAAGTGTTATATTTTAAACTACACTAATATGCGAGGTTAGCTACCGAATTTCCAGGTTTTTTGCCCAGAAGATAATAGGCTGTAGTTCTCCCTATCTGCACCTGAACTGAAAGCTAGTGGAACCTACCCTTGATAGTGAATAATGACAATCAAAATGGAATTGGCATGGTATATTAATTTACCTCTTCAGCCTAAGACACCCATTACCCTTGCATCCTGTGGCTCTTGTATATTTGCTTAATGTTAGATTGCCTTTGGAAGGTGTCATGTTAGTCTTCCTTTTCGCGTCACTTGCTCTTTCGTCTGCTACAGCCATTAATGGAGCTCGCCTATAGTTGGCTTTTTATCTACCTTTTTTGAGCTATCAACTTGCAGTAATCTGATTTATAAATTGTTGTATATTGTTTGTCTAACATTCTTCTCAACTGAGCTGTTGTATATATATTAGGAGATGGACCTTGTCCAAATGAAACAAAGGGGTAAGAAAAGATCCAGGCGAGCATTGGTCACGTCTGATTCCAATCTCCTTTATGTCATACGCATTGGCGGGTGGGTTCCTGGTTTTCCAATCATTCTTTTACTTCTTGGCTAAGGTAACTTGGATCCTAAGATTTGTGATTCACTTCAGGAAAAGTGATATGCACCCAAGAACACGAAAGCTTTTGTACTCTTTGAGGCTGCGGAAAATCTTCAGTGGTGTCTTTGTGAAGGCAGATGCAAGAATATTGGAAATTCTGCTAAAGGTGGAGCCTTATGTCACATATGGGTAGGTTGAACTAACCTTTTTGCTAGTTTGCTACACGACATTTAATGAACTCGCATTACTGGATATCCCCAAAGTACTCAACCTCAAATTAGTAAATAGGCATTATGCTTGCTGGAGAGGGGGTGACTGCACTTTTTTATTTTACTGGTTTCTTAGAGCTGTCAAAGAGACCTTAATTGAATATTTAATCGGTCTTGGACTTTCTCATTTTTATTTTTTCCTATTAAGGAGAGCAATATTCTTGTAATGCCAAAATCCGTGTTTGCTTTGTCTTTGATAGTTAAATTTATGTATGTCAAAAAGAGGAAAATGAGACCCTTAATTAAGTCGATGTAATGCCATGGTATATTTAATTATACAACCACTTTAAGTTCAGCTATCCCTAAATGAATATCCATCTACCATTCCACCAATTTAAAGACAATGACACTTAAAGAAGAAAGTTTTAGCATGTACCTTACGATGACACCAGGAGCTTAATTTTTTTAAAAAAATTATGGGACACCAGGATAACATTAGGTCTACTTTTACAGCTAATGGTCACCATTTCTACTTAGAAACATGCCTGATCTTGGTAGAACATTAAATTGCAGTTATTTATTCCTTAAGCAGGAAATTTTAAGTTTTTAACCATGTAAAAACGAGACGGCTTTAGCAGTTCTATGTATTCTTTTCTGTCATAGACTACGAGGCTGTAGAATATCTCTAATGGTTTTGTTGATGCTTTTGAAGATATCCAAATCTTAAGAGCATCAAGGATCTAATTTACAAGAAAGGTGCTGGAAAAATTGACAGCGAGAGAGTGCCTTTAACCAGCAACGAAGTTGTCGAACAGGTACCATGAATTGCTTGTTTTCTCTTTTATTGTAGTTTGTGGGCGGCCCGTGTAGTAACTATTTATTGTTTGCAGGCATTGGGTCAATATGGTATTATATGCTTAGAAGACCTTGTGAATGAGATTGCCAATGTTGGTCCCCATTTCAAAGAAGTCACTAGTTTTTTGTGTCCCTTTGCTCTCAACAAGCCAGAAAAGGCATTGCAGGGTAAGAAAAAACGATTTGTGGACGGGGGTGATTCAGGCAATCGTGAGGGTCAAATCAATGAGTTGATCAGCAAGATGAATTAGCATATTCAAGGGTCTATTTGTTGGGTGTATTATTGTTGTGATAACGTCATTGGATAATGTAGCACTTAAAACTCTCGTATGATGGCAGCAGAATTGTACTTAGGATGCTAAAACTGATCTTCAATTTTTTTTCTACATCCATTGATCTCAGTAGCCTTTCCGTGGGTTGTTTCTTATTTTGTGCCTTGAAGCCGAAGCCATTTATTGTAGTCCGACCTTTTTTGTGTTTACCAAATTTTCCTGTCATCAGTTATCACTAGATTCTATGCAACGGCTGAAAGGTTCTGGATAGATACTGTAGTAGAGAAAAGATGAAATAAGAAGAAATGGGGTACGGTTAGCAACCAGAAATAGATGCATATTACGTGCTAGTGCTGTAGAAATTAGAAAACCAAGTCTCCATTTCCCTGTAGTTTTGCAGCTTGGAAGTGAGCTGGTGATCCTCAGGTCCATTAAGTACGAAAGTCCAACCAAACGCTGAGCGTTAATAAGTAGATAAACTAGGCTAATAAAGAAACAAAGTTCTTACTATGAATATAGTACCTTTTAACAGATCGATAGTCAATTTGAATCCAAGTGATTCATAATTGAAGTTCAATTATTCTTTTTGTGGCAAGATTGAAAAAGCAAGATAGACAGAAAGAAAAAAATGTACAGTAGTATATTTTAACTGAAGATCCAACGACGTGACTCTTCTAAACCTCCCTTCTCCATTTTGTTGGCGCAATTGCTTAGAAATTCCCTGAAAGGTGGTTGTCTCCAATTCCCTAAATCAATTTCTTATAATAAAAAAAGAATGGAGGACGGAGATGATTGGATAGCCCGAGATAAGCTTTACCACGTCCTGTTTTGCTTCTTCATTGCTATCGTTACCTCCTTTGTCGCGGAAAGAGCCCGTTACCCTTTCATCCGCCGGCGGAGCATCTGGGTCGGATCCATTGTCTCACTCGCTGCCGGCGCCGCTAAGGAGGTGGCCGACGAATTGGGTTATTTCCGGTCAGCAGGCGCATCTACCAAGGACGCTGTTGCCGACGTCTTTGGCACTCTTACCGCTGCTCTCGCTCTTTCTCTCTACAAATCATCCTTCTTTCACCGCAGTCCCGATCAATCCATTCAAGCTAAGGCACTACAGATGGTGTAATCGGTTACTTGATTTAAATCCATCAGCTGATTCGGTACTTCACGACGCTCAATTTCTACGTTTAACCTCTATCATCATAATATAAATGTTCTCAAATTTTGAACTGGAAATAGTTTTGGGGGTTTTATTCTTTTTGAGGGAAAACTAGTGTAGACAAATCGACTATAATATGAGAGTTTTAATGCAAACAATGTAGAGTTATTAACCTATTTACTCATGGAAAAGTGTTTCGTGTAAAGTTTACTACTAGTTAAAATAAATTGGCCTAGAAAGGAATGAATCTTAACGTTATTGCAGCCTAGTGTAGATTAACCGACTATGTTATATGGGTATCACCCTTTGGTAGAATAGTTATTGTTCTTACACTTAATAGGACTTCGATTTTTTTTTTCTGCCTGCATTGAATAGCCAAGTGTAACAGGGAGAGCATATTTTCACTTTCTTTGTTTCTGTCAATATAGTACCTCTTTGAGAAAACAGTCAGATTTGCGTTTCACATTGATTTAGCATTCAAGAGACATAGCAAGAGCATCGTCTTCCTTTTTTGGATGACCAAGTTATTTGTCAATTAAAATTGAAAGTTATTGAATATGTGAAGATCTTAGCGGAATAAGATTGGACAAATTTGTTTGTCAGACTCCAACTTATAATCAGCTTTGTCGTAGCTGCATATCACCTTGTTAAATCCAGTAATTTCAGAGATTACTGAGGTAAATGATCGACTCTGAATCATGTTTGGAAAAAAAAATAAATGTCGGCAGTGCACAAACAGAGGTAACCGTTTCATATCAGGTTGAGCTCATTACGTATATAGTTATATCGCAAGTTATGCAGCGTTCTAATTGCAACAATTTCGATTTTTAATATGACATTAAGCTGGATTTCCGTATGCCAATATGGCAGTACTTTAGGGAAGAACAAGAGTTCCTTTTTCTGATACTCAAGCATTTACTTTTCTAGTTAGAGACCAACGTCTTGGGGCTAACGTGGGATCCGCTCAAGGACCTTCTGGTTTAGGTAAATATATGATGAACATTTCTGCAATTCTCAGTCTGTTCTGGTGCAAATTAACCGGCTTTCTAACACAATGGATGAAATTAGCCGCTCAGTGAAATAGTATAGGAGATGGAGCATGAAATAAGACTAGTCTTTCAGCTGCACTTCATACCCTTCAAAATTTCAGAGTGATGCAGAAAAACAAAAAGAAGTCCTACTTCCTGTGGCACTAGTTCTGTGAAAACACATGTTACATAGAAGTCTCTTCTACAATCCAGTAAAAACCTCACCAATAGTACACATTGCATAAGTTTGCCAATATTTTTTCTCTTCTCAAACTTAGGCTTTAATCATTTCCTCCCTTGCCTCTCTTCGTCATTGTATCTTGCTAAAATCTGTACATTCGGAGAGAGCGGAAAGATTTGTTTTATTCAACCCACCCTTGCCTTCCAGATGCAAAATGGTACAGAAGTTTTTACATTCATAAAACTGCACACTGTCTACTAAAGTATGTGATTCCCATGGTTTGATGGTGTTACTGATGAATCACCTTCTGAAACTATGTTCCAGTGAAGGCTTCCCATGATTGTTGTCATCTTCATTTGGCAGTTTGACTGCAGAGTAAACACCTGCCCCAGCGAGAGCGCCAAGTATCGGAGCAGTCAGGTAGATCCAAATGGCTTTATAGTTTCCTGCTGCTACTGCTGGTCCCAGCGTTCTCACTGGATTCATTGAAGCCCCAGTTGTCTCCCTAGAACACAAGAAATGAAAAATAGGAAGGCCGTTAAATAGGCTATTAATTTATTCACAAGCTATGTTTACCGTCAAGAAGTGGTTTCCTGTGGAATTAGGCTGTCAATACTTTATTGTTCATGTATGTATATTGGTTCCTTCGTCTCATTTTATGTCACATCATTGATTGAACTGAAAGCGTACTAGTTTAACCTATGTATTAATATAAATAGGAAAATTGTATATCTGAGTGAGAATAAACCACATCAAAGTTTAATTGCATTAGTAAGCTTTTAATAATTGAGAAAGCTGTAAAAGATGGTGATAAACATTTGGAGATTAGTAAAAGTACGAAAAAGTGTTACACAAATAGGGATGGAGGGATTATTTTATTCAAGAAAGCTGTCTACTTTCGTCCCTAAAGTAATCTCCAAAGCTTCAATTTAGTCGGATAAAGAATTCAGACTAGTTAGATAGTACATCTGTACATGATTTTCGTTCAGCTTTTCGCATCAGCATGAAAAACACTCAATGGAAATAAAGGCTACTAGATCAAGTAGTACTACAAGATCTGTCAAAACTATTAAAGGAGCAGCAAAACCTTAACGGGCATTCTAAAAGATTCATAAATGAACACCACATGGCTAAAAGCTTAAACAGCAAGATTTGCAGATTACCCAGCTATTAGAATGTTGAGCATGACGGTGGCTCCTACTGCTATTCCTGCAAGCTCTCCCACCTGTAGTTGCCAAGAAAAGATGACCTCTAACTTAGGTAACTCAAAATAAATTCATTTGGCCTATTGCTAGTTTACTACTAGTACTACCATTTAATAAAATGATTGTTTATAGTTTGTACATAGAGATTTCAGTTGGCAGTTAGCAAGTTTTACTACCATTAATATATGCAAAAGAAGGGCAGCCTGGTGCACTAAGCTTCGCTATGCACTGGGTCCGGGGAAGGCCGGATCACAGGGTCTATTGTATGCAGTTTTACCCTGCACTTTATAAGAGGATATTTCCAAGGCTCGAACTCATGACCTCCTGGTCGCATGGCATCAACTTTACCGGTTGCCAAGACTCCCCTTCACCATTAATATATTCCAGTGAATGCAAAAACAAACTTCTACTTATTTAATAAGGGTCTACACCGAAATTATATGGGGATCTGTGATGGTTGTCCAAATGACAAGTAGGCAAGATGGAGGAGAGAGAGCAGAGAATAAATGCTTACAGCTCTAGTGTCGGTGGCCACGGCAGTGACAACAAACATGAGGTTAAAGCTGATGATGAACTCCAAAGCAAAAGCTTGAAGGTAACTACCAGACGGAACAGTGACTCCACCACCCATTATTGGGTGCAAAACTACCTTGAGTGTGAATGCAGCACAGAATGATGCTATAATTTGTGCTCCAATGTACACAGGAACCTGTCAAAAACAAGATTAACGCACTTAACAACATAAACAAGAGCCAGAAACTAAGTGGTTAACGAGTGTTTATAAGTCATACATTTTTCCAGGGGAAATGCTTTAGAGCAGCAAAAGCAATGGTCACAGCTGGGTTGAGATGAGCTCCAGAAATGTGGCCAGTTGACAGAATGACAATCATTACAGCTAGACCACTGGAGGCTGCCAATCCAATTAAGGTTTCCGAGCCTTGTGTCTTTTGGTTCACAATTGCTGTGGCTGTCCCCGCAAATATTAGTATCATAGTACCTATGAACTCTGCTCCCACCTGATAAAACACACACACAAAAAACAAGTTAGTTTTTCTCGATATCACTTGCATTTGCTTATTCTGTTTTCTCACCTTTCTGGCTAGTGAGACAGGAGGAGGAGGTAACGCGCATGAAACAGGCGGTAAGCTTCCTTCTTCTGAAGCCCATGCTTCTACACTGAAGCATTTTAAGCTCTTGAGGAGGGAGTTTCTGCCATTGTTGTTTCTTTCATGTTTGAAACCACCAAAAAGAGGAGCACCAGGAGTTGCTGGTGTTGAAGGGGCTGACACTCCATCTTCAGGATCCATACCTATAGCTCAAAGATAAAACTATAATATTATTGGAAAAAGAATTAATGAACAGCTAGATAAACTTGAGTTCACTGTCCTTTGTCCTTATGACAGTATGACTCCAGTGAATACTATTTATAGTACTGATTAATTGCATCAGCCAATTAAGAATGTTTGACTTGGGAGAATCCCAAGAGTGAGAAATAGTTAGTGGATGGAATTGAAAGATTGAAAAAGGAAAGTGGGATTCGGAAGTGGAAAGTGGGACACAAACCGAAAACCTTTGCATTTGGAATTTAAATGAAGATTTGAACTCTAACAAACCGTTTGGCCATAGATTTTGCCAAAATAAACTTGGATTTTATTTGGCAAATACATGTTTGGCCATAGATTTTGCCTATATTTTGGCAAAAGTCCAAATCCCAAAACCTGGTCAATACCTGGTTTTGAGCCGAAATCTTTACGAACACTAAGCTAGCGTTTGGCCATAGATCCCAAATTTATTTTGAAAAATCTGATTTGGGTGAAATTTGGTTTGAAGATGAAAATGTGTTTGGATATACGTTTTCAAAACATATTTTCCAACTTTATTTTGAAAAAATATGTATATAATTCCCAAGTTATGGGATTTTGGCCCAAAATCAGCTCAATAGCTGATTTTGGGATTTGAGATTTGGAATTTGGCCAAAATATGGGCAAAATTTATGGCCAAACATGAGTTTTGAAAATAAATCCCAAATTTATTTTGGCAAAACTCATGACCAAACGGGGCCTAAATAATATACATGTTTTTCCAAAATAAATTTGGGAAATATGTTTTGAAAGTGTATGTCCAAACACATTTTCATGTTCAAATCAAACTTCACCCAAATCAAATTTTTCAAAACAAATTTAAAAATATATGGCCAAACGCTAACTAAGTATCAGTCATGTGGTTCGCGTCTCGGGCCACTGTATCTTGTTATTTAATTAACCCACAAAGATCATGGAGCTGACCATTTTGCACCAGGTATTTTGTTGTTCGTGCCACCATATTTGCTTCCCAAATGAAACAATAAACAGGAGGGAAAGAATCATGGTAGGTGAATGAATTGCTTGGAAGTGGGCAATAATCAATTTATAATTCATTTCCTTTTATAAAGTTGCCATTATTTGGATTATTGTCATGATTGCTAGGAGAAAAGATTAAGAAAAACCAATTAATCAACCTTACTCCACATCAAATGTAGCTAAGTACGTGGCTTGTTCTACCACCTTCCTTTAGACTTTCATTTTACTTGTATAACATCTGATGAGGTCATGACACTTAAAATTTTCATTTTAGGGGTCCTAAATATTGATAAGATCTCCATAATTTTTCCCAATTTAGCAGCGTACAAGTTAAAATTCTAAGATTCATTAAGAATTCTAAGTGCTTCACTTAGCATTCCATAATTAGAGTTTTCTGCATTTCATGACCTTTAATTTAAGGTAATTTATGCGTTTTTTAAGCTGAAGGTCTGTCTATCTGAAACAGACTCTCTATCTTCTTAAGGTAGGGACGAGGTCTGTGTATACACTATCTTATCCATACTCCACTTGTGGAACTATACAGGGTATACGGTACTTAATGATTGTTGCGTTTTTATTAAGGGGTGTGAATGGGAAATGGAAGAGGCACCTCCTTGGTTTGCACCTCTTCATCTCACCATTTCATTATCTATAAATTTAGAGGCTTGGCCTCATTTTTCAGATATGGAAAAATCTGAAATCTTCTCCCCTCTTTTCTACATTGTTGCATTATTTTCTAAATAAACATAAGTGTCAAGTGTGATTTGCTCCGTTTGTTGAGTTCGCTGAAGTTCTGTGATTTGAAGTGCCGCTATCACAGAATAGTTATTCCGTTATATCCTGGGAGGAATTAATCCGTATACCTTGGGCAACAGTGAGGGGATTAAATTCCTTAAGGACACACTGTGAATTCAGTGGGCTCGAAATTATTTTTGCATTTTATGTTCTAAGTTCTATTTTTCTGATTTTAAACACCGTAATACCAACAATTTTGAGGAATTTGTTGAATTACTTTGATGGTTGATAAAAGAAAAAAAAATTGAAGGATCGTGAATTCTGTTGCACAAACATGACTTTGAAAGGTGAAATCCTTATAATTGACTGTGGCCTTGAAGTAAGATGTTGATTGAAATCATGAAGAAATGGCAACAGTGATGCAGAGAATGTCTTTAAATCCACTAGTTTAGACATTAACCAATTACGGGTGAAGGCAAAGGAAAAGAATAATTCCTTTCTTTCAGTTTCACAAGGTACTAATGTTTTAAACATTTGATATCCAAGAATTCTTCCAAGGTATTCTTGGATTATTTCATGTCAATTGGCAAAGAACAACGTGATTACACGGTCACGTTGATATCAGTGTTTTATGCCTATAGGGTAAACAAGAGAAAAGATTTTTCTTTTCCTTTTGTTTTGTTGCTATCCTCTTACGAGAGTTCTCCAGAAGCACCAGATATTGTGGTAGCAATTTCTCGAAAGAGATCCAGATTCAATGAGAGCGTGACTACAAAAAACGGGTTCTGTTCTTCTTACTCTGGCTTATAATCTGTTTATTATTTCCTACTCTAGTGATTTATGATCGAGTTGCTACAAACATTAGAGTAGATGTTATTATGTGATAATTTCATATATATAGAATTGTATGCATGAGTATAAATAACATGCGTTTGCTGTTAAGTTTGTTATTTCTTTGACCAAATGAAAAAACTATTAGTAGTTGATATACAATTTGGTGGCATGCATGGTATCTTCAAGGTTGTAAGACATGAGTAAGGCTTACAGTAATACTTGAAAATGTTCTTGAGATCATATAATATGTAAAGATGGACATATATATGTTTGATTAGAGAAAGAGGTCAAACTGTTTAAAGTGTTATAATGGTTTAGTAGAAAAACCATTTGGAAGGGGAATTAAAATTCTCGTGATTTTCCATATCCGTTATAGAGAAGAAAATCTTCGTGATTTTCTACTCCTGCTTCGAGATCAAAATCTGCGTGATTTGTTACTCGTTCGTTGAGATTAAAGTCTTCGTGACTTTCTACTCATTTATCGGAAATTAAAGTCTAAGTGACTTTATATTCGTTTTGGAGATTAAAATCTTAGTGATTTTCTACTCTAATTTATTATTTGCTTTGAAGATTAAAAACTTCATCGTCTATTAAATTTGATTGTGTCACAAATTACAAGGTTTGAAGATTAAAAACTTCACCGTTTATTAGATCTAGTTGTATCAGATGTTACTCGGTTTGAAGATTAAAAACTTCACCGTTTATTAATTCCGAATGTGTCAGATGGGTTTGAAGATTAAAAACTTTACCATTTATTAATTCTGGCTCTGTCGTGACACAAACAACAGTTCTTGTGGTTGGCTCAACAACGTAATAGGGGCGTCGAATATGAATCTCCTTTTGGAGAAATATGTTTGGAATATGAAATTATTCACCAAACGATAGCCCCTCAGTCACCGCAATCTAATGGAATTGCGGAAAGAAAGAATAGAACGTTAAAAGAGATGATGAATGCCTTGTTAATAAGTTCTGGTTTACCTCAGAACTTGTGGGGGGAAGCTATTCTTACAGCTAACCGAATACTGAATCGAGTTCCCCATAGCAAAACGCAATCCATTCCATATGAAAATGGAAAGGAAGGAAACACAACTTAAAATATTTTAAAGTGTGGAGGTGTTTGGCTAAAGTGCAAGTTCCTAAACCCAAAAGGGTAAAAATTGGACCAAAAACCGTTGATTGCGTTTTCATAGGATATGCAATAAATAGTAAGGCATATAATTTTCTGGTTCATAAATAAGAAAATCCCGACATTCATATTAATACGGTAATTGAATTAGATAATGCTGAATTCTTTGAGAATATTTATCCGTATAAAATGGAATGTGAGTCGTCTAATGAAAAATCTAAGCGACCTCGGGAAGAAGCAAAGGAAAGTACGTTTGATGAGGAAAATTCAAGACGTAGTAAACGTCAAAGGACAACTACTTCCTTTGGACCAGATTTTCTGGCATTCTTTTTGGAAAATGAGCCTCAAACGTTCAAGAAGCAATGTCTTCCTCGGAAGCACAATATTGGAAAGAGGCAGTCAATAGTGAGATAGAATCCATATTAAGTAATCATACTTGGGAATTGGTTGATCTTCCTCCGGGAAATAAACCTTTGGGTTCTAAATGGATTTTCAAAAGGAAAATGAAAGCTGATGGTACTATTGACAAATATAAGGCAAGATTAGTTGTTAAAGGGTTTAGACAACGAGAAGGTCTTGATTATTTTGATACATACTCACCGGTAACGAAGATTACATCTACTCGGGTGTTAATAGCGTTAGCCGCCGTGTATGGCCTTGAAATCCATCAGAAGGACGTAAAGACAACCTTCTTAATGGAGATTTGGAGGAAGAAATTTATATGAAACAACCTAAAGGTTTCGTGGTTCCTGAAAAAGAAAAGAAGGTGTATCAACTTGTTAAGTTACTTTACGGACTAAAACAAGCATCCAAACAATGGCATGCGAAATTTGACTAGAAAATATTGTCAAATGGTTTCAAACTAGTGTATTTACATTAAGAATACTCTAAATTATGTAGTCATTGTTTGGTTATATATGGATTATATATTGATAAAAAAGGCACATGAAACATGTGAAATGTGGGGGCATTTAGCTTATGCATAACAAAAGTTAATGTTAGACGTGATGTCTATATTATTTAGAAGAACTAGATGATATGATTCTTCTAACCCCACGAATCTTTAAGGATATTGATATGGTAGTCGGTGAATTCATCACTTGTTCAGTCTTAGTGATGACTAGTGATGAAACTACAAATTCGAAAGTTGTTTACGTGTCTTTCCAAAAATGATTTGTTCTTTCTTGAACATTTATAATGTTTAGCTCTTTTATGAAAGGGTGTCACCTGGAAGGCTGTGACTTTTCATGAAAAGTGTATTTGTATGTCTTGTATAAACATGATCGTTCATAAACGAACGTATTAATACGTTGGTCTATAATGAGGTGAACCAAACCGATGAACATGACCAAAATCCATTAGAAGTTGGATTTGTTTCATAAATGAAGGTGCTATAAATTGCATATCATATAGACGTATGAATAAATAGCATACAAATGCTTGAAAATG